CTTATAAAACAATTAACAGTACTCTACAGTCATGCCAGCAGGCTGTATTTTGGCACAGCGGTGCTTTGAGCTAAATATTAACAGCAGCATGCTCAAAATGACAGTGCTACCATGCTAATGTTTATAAGGTATGTTTATAATATTCACTGTCCTATGCTGCATTCACATGGAATCAGGCAAACGGGAGACGGACAACACCTCCTTGATGGTACAGGTGAAACAAACAGTCCAACAGATAGTGGTGGGTAGAGCACTGTAGGAAATACTTCAGTAAAATTAGAATTACTTCCATAAAAATGACTCAAGTCAAAGTAAAAAAGTACCTGGTTAATAAATGTTTCAAAGTTTCTTTCCATTGTAATATTCTTTAGGGTGTGTGGGCCAGTGCAAAACAATGAAAAAAAACAGCACTTGTTGATAAAACTTTGTACATTTGTAGTAACCCTAACCCTGATGAGGATTAATGAATTCAAAAGGCCAACAGACCACTAGCTACAAGACGAGTTCATGTCATTATCATAACATTAAAGATTAACATTACACATGACAAAATAACATACCAGTAGCCAGAGATGTGACCAAGTCACACATGTGCAAGTCTCAAGTAAGTCTCAAGTCTTAACCTTCAAGTCTCAAGTAAGTCCCAAGTCATTTTTTCTTGGGCAAGTCAAGTCAAGTCACAGGTTATGTCAAGTCAAGTCAAGTCAAGTCCTGTAATAGGTCAAGTCAAGTCAAGTCACCTTATTATTGTAATTTTACCTGCAGAATCTGATCTTAATAAAGTGAAAAGACAAGATATAAGTAACTGTCAGTAAACATTGACTTCATCGCACACACACGCACACACACACACTAACCAAGGCAGCGGCCAGAATCACCCATTTAGCTCATTTAACCCTGTGTTGCTCGTTCATAAAACGTACAGCCGGCCTTGTGATGAACCGGTCAGAATGTTCGCTCACGTTTTCTGGGGTTAATGTTAGCAAATAAATTAAAAAACAAGTTCCACCAAACCGACCCACCCGCCCACCCCCGTATCGTATCAAGCTAACGTTAGCTAACTATCGACTAACCAGATAATATTAGCTAATTGACAAGCACTTACTGGACAGAATGGCTCTTCAAATGACGAACAAAGTTTGAAGTTGTCGCCTGGCTGTCCGAGATGTTTATGCCGCATGTCTTGCGCTGTGCTGTTCATCTTTTGCCGTAATAATGGTAATTCCGAAAGCCGAAGACGATGACTCTCGGTACCCCTCCCGCTGACATGTTGATGCCTATCTGATATAAGAGGGCCTGTTTCTCCAATAAACATGTAAGGTACGTAGAGAGGGCATGACTGACTGACAGGGTAGTGATCCAATCATGACAACGCCATTCTCAGCCTGCGCTCCTACCGGGTAATCAACATTATTTTTTAAATTAATTTATTAATTTTATATTCTAACCGAAAACATGATGTGAATAACACATAATAGTAATAACTCATTCAAGTCATCGTGTCTCAAGTCAAGTCAAGTCCCGAGTCTTTAACTTCCAAGTCTGAGTCAAGTCTCAAGACTTACATTTTTTGTCAAGACAAGTCACAAGTCATCAAAACAGCGACTCGAGTCGACTCGAGTCGAAGTCACAATGACTCGAGTCCCCATCTCTGGCAGTAGCTAATGTCAGCTAGCTAACTTCATGTCACCTACAGTAAGTGCAACTTCAATGTGCAAGTGGACTTCTTAAAAATTAAGATCTGTGTTTTTTTGGAGGCACAGCAAGCACTTTATCATGTAACTGCTGTCTTTTTTAGAGTTTGGTATAAAACACATGGCCAGATGTGGCCAGGGATCACAGGGTTTCCCCCAGCAAAGCTGTTAGGCCAGGTGGCAAATGTCGTTTTAGGGGGCTGGCAAGATGGTTTTTGAAGATGGTCAGCGACAGACTTTGTTTTGATTTTGATGTTAACAATGCAGCTAAGTTAAATTAAAATATGTTTTTTATGTGTAATTAGTTTCATTTGGTTATTTTTGCATAGGGACCCCAACAAACAAGGTTTTATATACAGTAGGGCTCCCAAAAAGCTAGAAACCGCCCTGCTAGCTGGTGTGTCTACTAGAGAAGATGTAGCTGTCATGGGGAGAGGAACATGTTGCTAAAGACTAAATGTGATGGAGAGATATTATTGCAGCCTTACACCCAACAGGAATGAAGAGGATTTAGTAAATAAGTGGTTGACGCTAGTAACATGATTTGAGCTGATGCAGAATTTTAACTCCTCATAACGTACCATTGGCGTTATCGTCACCTCACTCACTGTAAAACAGTCTGACAGATGATGGTGGGCAGAGTACTGAAAATCTATACAGAAGTGAAATTATAATTACTACCATAAAAATGACTCAAGTAAAAGTAAAAGTCAAACATTTGCTGATTTCATATTTCATAAGAGAATTTGATGCTTCTTTGTCATACCTGATGATTCACTGAATAGTTTTGGGGGGTTTTGACAACTGGATGTATAAAACAAACCATTTGAAGACATCGCCTCTGTAAAATTACACATGGAATGTTTTACTATTTTCTTACATTTTATTGCCAAATGATCAATCGATTAATTGAGAAAATAAAGGGCAGATGGATAATGGTTAGCTGCAGCTCTATCATAAACAACTAGTGAGATAAATAACCATGAAGGAAGTGAAACCTATGATTAGAACAATCACTCTTATGTCTCTTACTCACATTGGGCTCACTTCTACAGTTAAATAGTGAAAGTAAACTATTCCCCATGTTTCCAGGGACTCCCTGGAGCCCCCTCAAGGACCCCTGGTTGAGAGCCACTGCTCTAACACACAACAGGACTGAAATTATACCCTCTATGATTTCATGTGACAAATTAAACTGATGAGTGATTGACTGTATGCAAACCATGAGGACCTCCATGACAGGTGTTAGCAGCAGACCTGCCAGCCTGTAGTCTGCCTGTTTGCCTGCTAGTCCTGAGAGCTGCTTTGCCAAACCCACGTCTCTTAGTAAAGATTGAGGTCACGGGGTGGCCGGCTGTATGAAACCACACTTGACTGTTAGATTGTGTCGGCTGCAGAGCATGGTGGTACTGTAGTAGGTGTGTGTTTGGATCTTGAGTTGTTCATTTAACCCGTGTCCTCCTCCTGATCTAACAACAAGGGTGATGAAGGTGTGTGTGGAGGCCAACAGTAAAAACCCCAAATACCTTTTTCTTCAGAAGAGTCAGAGCGTCACTGTCCTCTGAGAGCGCACTGAGACTCTGGAACAAAGAGAAACGAGTCACCCGGGGAAGATGAGCCAGTGGCTGGAGAACAGTTTCTGTCATCAGTAACTCTACAGGAGCAGTAACAGTGCTGTTATTAGCAACTGCAACACAGTCACATCAGTCCCACATGCATTTTAAAGTTTAGGTTTGTAGACTTTTGACAATGAATTGCAGGGAATGTAAAATCTGCACTTAAACACTCTCATACTTTCTCGCACTTGTTGCAGGGTCTCCAGGGTCTCTTCAGTAGAGTCGTCAGGTTCAAATGTTTCTGGTTCCACGGCCACTACTTTAAACACACACACACACACACAAATAAGATTTTTGTCCGATGAAAATTTGCAGATGAAACATTTGAAATAGTTTAAATTATAAAAGAAGTTGAAGTGGAGTTGGCAGTTGAAATACAATGACTGAAAACAGATTAGGGCTGAAAGAGGTTGATGCGGTAATTTAACTGCAAGCACAGTGCGATCCACTGTGGGAGATTTTTAAAGTAGCTGATAACAGTTAGCAGCTAACTGAAAGAAGAACATAAATGTCCACAAATTGGAAGAACACTGAGCTCCAGGGGCTCATTACCCTCTGAGCAGAGAACCAGATCAGGTGTGCAGTTGTGCGCACACTTCACCCCTCATCACCACCTAGTCTTTGCAGATTCATCAGCCTCAACAGCCATTAGGGCAGATTTATAGTTGTGCGTCAGCTCTATACTGCGTTTTTTGTATTTATATTTGTGCAGTTGTGTGTCTGTGTTGCTCTACAGTTACACCTCCAAACACACTGTGAAATAGAAGTAAATAAAACTTTTGTATCCACTGCCAGGAATGGTTTTACAGCTTACAAAAATAGACTTGAGGTCTGTGTCGCTGCAACATGTAATATTTCTGGGGAAGGTGCACGTCAGGCTACAGCACAGGGTACACATCTACGCAGAAGCTACGCCATAAGTACAACATTGATTTGACATGGAAGTATAAAATCCTGCATTAGTCTCAGTCACCAGCCACCGCCACCACCAGTGTCTAGCCTACATGGTGGATTTATGTTGCTGCTGCTCAGGTGTCCCTTGAATACAAAATCTCCTTGTAGAGTCTAAGCACCAAAAACTGTCTGTCAAATCTGATCTGTTAATCTGTACATGAACTTAACTTCATTCACCCGTCTCTCCTGACTGAAATATCAGATGGTATTTTAATCGTTAGTTAAACTGTCAGTTAAACAACAAAAATCAGGTCAAAGTGAAAGCAGCTGAGGTGTCAGCAAAGTGTAAGTAACGAAAGTACTTGAAGTGACAGAGACAGAGTGAGTTATTGACAGTTGATTGGCTCGCATGCTGTGAAATACAAGATGGAACAGAGCAAAGCAACAGTGTGAAAAGTGTTTTACCATAATTTCGAACAGTGGGTTTATGTCCCGTACTGAGAAGTTGGACTGAAAGAATGAAATAGCAATAAATCATTAATAAACTTGGATCCTATTAATTTGAAAAATAACAAATGCTGCAGGTGTGTTAACACGCTCACACACTGCATTTCTTACAAGTCACTGTCTCTTCCTTGAACTTCAGCTCATTGAACCTGTAGCCATAAATGTGTCCTGCTGGTACAGTAAAGGAAGTGTCGTCCTTCATCTTGGCCTAATTAAACAATAAATACAGCAGGTAAACAAACAGGTGTACCACGACATCTTCTCAATGCCGTCCAACCAACTTAACCCAAAGCATGTTACCAATAAATAACAAGACCGACACACACCACAACTTAGAAACACAAAGCAAAAGGCACACAACACAAACACTCTGAAACTGAAACTGTTGAGTTGCTGTGTTTTCTTGTTGGTTTGCAACCCGACCTTTATTTGTTTTTGTCTTTAAATGGACAAAATTAAATGCATTCATATCAGTCCTGCTGCCTTTGGATGCCTGCCTGGGATTTATTAAGCTGAAGAGGAAGGCTTTTGTAAAGTCTGAAACAGCAACAAAGCCTCAAGGACCCCTCCTCCTCAGCGAAACATATGGGACTAACACTGTAGTTACATCATTTGAAATCTGTGTGGAGAGAAGGAGAATAGGAGGTCATCTGCAAAGGAGGAGCTGGAAAGCGTTGCTGGGAAGAAGGATGTCTGGAGTACTTTGCTCAGCCGGCTGTCCCTGTTACTCAGACCTGGATAAGCGGATGAAAATAGGCGGATGGGTGGATGCACAAATAAACGAACATAGCTGACTGTGATATTGACCTATAAAATGCATGCTCTGCTCAACACTCTGCTCCAAATCATCATTCATACTCACCCCCAGAAAGAGATGTATAAATTTCAAAAACGCTGCAAAGGAGCCTTCCACTTCAGTTCTTCCATGGAGGTGGACGTCATTTGTGTTGAACACAATCTTATCTACAAAACCCAACACCTCTCCCTTCCTCAGTGTTGGCATGTAGTCATCATTTATCTTCCTGAGGGTGAGAGAGGATACAGATGGTGGGTAACAGGTGAAAGTTTCTTTTGGCTTTTACGTCATATGGTTATTGAGAAAGAAAGAGAGAAGCAGAGGTTAAAGCAGCAGATTTAGCCAATCACTAGAGAAAAATGTTTGCATTATGCATTTCTGTAAACCACGGATACATTACATCTGTCAACAACGCTGAGGTGAATGTGTGGTGAGGTTAGGTTTTGGCACAAAAAACACTTGGAAATTTGGGTTCAATGGGCTGTTGGAGAAATGGTCAACAGACATGATATTACAAAGTCTAGCACAGGTTCACAGATACTGTGAATTCCCGAAAATGTTCTGGGCCCAAAACTGTACAAGTGTACCAACTTTCATGTTTTTATAAAATAAGATAAGATAAGATAAGATAAGATAAGATGAACTTTATTGATCCCACACTGGGGAAATTCACGTCACAGCAGCTCAAAGCACAGACAGAAAGTGACAATGGAGAAAAGAAGAGCATAATTTTCATATATCACCAGAACTTCACGTCATATATTGTGTATCACATGACCTGAGTTATTCATTGTTGACAATGGATACACTTTTAAGTTACAGGCTGTTAAGTTCTTGTTGTGGAAGTATGTGCCTGGTAAATATAAGGTGTTGATCTAAATTCATCAAGATAGGACCCAGAGACATGGGGCTCTATTTTCATGTTCTTGATTTTATGATGACTTGGACAAAGTGTTGCATGACATTGTTTTGCCCTATGAAAAGAGACGTGTTGATTTCTGCTGAAAGCAATATCTCCAGTTGTACAACCACTAACATGACTAGCAGAAGTGGGTAGTAACTAGTTATATTTACTCAGTTACCTTTACTTGAGTAACTTTGGATAAATTGTACCTTTCAGAGTTGTTTTAATGCAAAATACTTTTTACTTTTACTTGAGTTATATTGTTTTAAAGCAACAGTACTCTTACTTGAGTACAATATTTGGCTACTCTACCCACCTCTGGTGACTAGGTAGCATGCTAGCAAGAGTGTGGACATAATAACAGTGTGCTGGGCCCTCTGACCTTGTACGGTAAGTGACGTAGGCAGTAACGAAATCTGAACACAAGTGGTCAGCAGGAGACACATGATAGACACAGGTGTGAACAACAATGTGTCTCAGCTGTGCTCACAGAAAAGCATGTTAATAGCAGGTGTAAACAGGCTCACAGAGACATACTGGCCAAGACATTTCTCCTTCATCTTGCGAAGGTTTGCTGTCTTTGCATTAATGTCGACAGATGAAGTCTTTTTGACATCGCATGCTCCTGCATCGGCACCTGCACCCTTGACAACTGTTTCTACGCCGGCCTTCCCAGAGATCATGCCAGTGTGCTTGTAATCCTTGATGAGGGTTGTTTCTGGAAAATATGGTAGATACTCTAAGCCCAGTATTGACAGGTGCAGATTGTGTTCTTTGTGCATGTGTGTACGTACCTTCAAACTCAGAGAATCCAACGAATGCTGAGACAAGATCACCAAGAGTGAGAGACATCACTTCATACTCAGTGGAAAAAAATGAGTTCTTCTTTTTGACCAGTGTCAGGAGATCCACCTTTTTAGTTAAATCTCCATGGAGGGTGAGTTTTTTTTTTGCATCTACTTGATGGAGAACCTCCTGAGTATGTTCCTGAAACATCTTCTGTGTACAGATACAGTGGTCAGTGAGTAAGTAGCAGCCTTGGACCTCACTCAGACAAAGAAAGTATCTCAAATAAATGGGAAATTATAAATCCTAAAAGACAGAATTTAAAGTAATGATGAGAGCAAAACTTAAAAACAATTCACATGAAGATTTAACTACCAGCCACATGGCTAAAAAGAACGTATTAGAGATTTTTTTTTTTTTCAATGACTTTAATCTTCCCTTAAAGAATATTTATGGTCTCATCCTTCAGTGTAAACTGTACTGATCTTGATCCAAATGCAGGCTGATAAAATACCCTGGTAACACTTTATATTAAGGTAATGTGATAATCGTTAATTAATGCTTAATAAGCACAAATTAACAGTTAATGAGCACTTATAAGACGGTATAAGATGCTTATTAACATTAATAAGACTATTTAAGTGTTTATTACAGCATAACTGACAGTTATCATTGCTTATAGGAGCATTATAAGCACTTAATAGAAACTTTGGTAACAGTTTATAAACCTATACTAAATATTAATAAGATGTCTATTTACATTAATTATCATTTATAAGGGTTAATTATAGAATAATAACCACATTTATTACTGGTTTATAAGACACTCTAAGATCCTATAAGATGAAATTAATAAGGTGTTTATTAACATTAATAAGACCTAATGAGTGTTAATAATAGTATACAACACATTTATTATTGGCTTATAAGATATTATTGGGTACTAGAACATCCTTAAGAGTTTGTAGACAATGTATCAATATTAACATGATGTTTATTAACATTAATGAGACTATAAGAAGTTAATATCAATGCCATATTATGGTTAATAAATGCTTAATTATGCACTTATTAACAGCTCATAATGCATCTTTGCAGCTACTGGATCTCCAAATACAAATGCCGAAAAGTTGCTGTGTGGTGGGCTGCACGGCCAATAAGGCTAAAATCCCAGAGCTTACCTTTTATCAGCTGCCGAGCAGAAAAACGGAACCTTGTAGAAGACAAAAGTGGATACAGGCAACAGGGAAGAAATTGTGGGATCCTGACACTCGGTATGCCTATGTGGGCAGCAAACATTTTGTCAAACCCTCCAAATGTATTTTTCAGAGTAACAGTTAACTGTATTTATGTTAAGCTAAAGCATTGACAGTATGAATGCAACTTCTTTTATAATTGTGCCCAGCGCTCCACGATTCAAGCAGTCCATTCCAGCGGTCCGCTCTAGCATTTCTATCAGTCTACCAGCATGTAGAGGCATGTCTCAAAACAACAACGTGTGCCGGTAGTAGGAGCAGGCTGATGGAGGGGAAAGCGGGCCTCGTTTCCCCTATGGGGGCATGGCTTTCAGATTATGACGCGTTGCGCTCTGTCTCTATAGCCTATATTCATAATGAAAATAAATTTAAATAATATGTATAAGTACCTGTGTACCCCAATATATAATATAAACATACATTTGTCATACAAATGCCAAAATGTATGAAATGCTCATTTAACCTTACTGACAGAGAGGAATGAAGTCAGGCTATGGCATAAGCAAATCAGCAGGAGTTAGCATGAACATGACGCAGCCTATATCCATTAGCCTACTCAGCATAACACACAGCTCATCGATGCTCCTAACACATTCACTCTGCTCATCCTGCTTCACACAATTTACTGTCACTCTTGTATCTCAACCATCTTCACACACATTTCACTCACTTTAACTCACACAGAATGTCACTAGCGACGCACTTAGCTACCGAAGATATTTCGAGCGGCACCCTCCATGAGCTGCGACACACACACACACACACACACACACACACACACAGACTCTCTTAATCAAGGTCAAAGTCAATGTCTCTGAGTGTCACAGTTACACACTAAGGTTCTGCTAACACATACTACTGTTATCTGGGTGTTCATTATACTCAGCTTACCTGTAGGAAATTTAGAAACATGACTGGCTGCTAGCTGAGTTGCTAGTGTTAGCTATCGCAAAGAACTAGAACTAGCTAAAAACCGGGAACTGCCCACTGGTCCGACATCCCATTGTTCCGACCATATTAAACCCATTGTTCCGAAGTCCCGTTGTTCCGAAATCATCATGATGCCCTGTGGTTAAGGTCTGGTTAGGTTTAGGCACAAAAACCACTGGATGGGGTCAGGAAAAGATCATGGTGTGGGTTAAAATGAAAAAGAAAGTGGCAAACACATAAGCTGTGAGCCTGCTTCGCCTCAAGCCTTTCCCAGCTGACCCAGAGCAGGTCGCGGTGCACCATCAAGGCAGAAATACGCCTGCCGGGAGCCGTTCAGCACCGTGGACCGTCGGACTAATGGGATGTCAGACCAATGGGCTGTCATACCAATGACATGGACCCCTAAAAACCAACAAGCTAACGTTAGCCTATAGCCTAACGTTACTTTAACAAAGTAACTTACAACAGGGGCAGAAACAGATGAAACATCGTCTTCAGAGTCCCGAAGCTAAGTGTCGCACCCTACTCCAACTGGAGCGGCACTGGAGGAGCTTGCATCAGTTGTTTCAACCATCTCAGCATTGCTAGTTTTTAATGAAATTATTCAAGCAACAAAAGCAACGTTCAGATACCCATACGTAATGACATTGTAAATAACACCCATCCTGATATTTGACTTTTTTTTTTTTGCTGTCCCGAAATTGTCCAAGACACATCATCTTTGTGTCCCAGTAGCAATTTTTATAGACGTCGGGACACCGTTAGTTTTGAGCCCTGAGAGTATATTAATAATTTATTAACCTTTTATACAACACTGTTCCCACTTTAGATCCTGTAGCTGCAAAGGATCATTATTAAATATTAATAACACCTTATTAATTTAATCTGATAGGGCCTTATAAACCAGTAATAAATGTGGTTATTATTCTATAATTAACCCTTATAAATCATAATTAATGTAAATAGACATCTTATTAATATTTAGGATAGCTTTATAGACTGTTATCAAGTTTCTATTAAGTGCTTATAATGCTCCTATATGCAATAATAACTGTGTTAATTATGCTATAATTAACACTTATATAGTCTTATTTATGGTAATAAACATCTTATTCTGTCTTATAAGTGCTCATTAACTGTTAATTGGTGCTTATTAAGCATTAATTAACGATTATTATAGTACCTTAACATAAAGTGTTACCAATACCCTTCCTGACATGTGATGATAAACATGGAATTAAAGTAGCTTTCATGTCTTACCCTGTTGGAGTCTGCGATTATAATAAAGCGCACTCCTCAGTGTTGTAACAGCAGCCTCACTCAGACACGTCTGCAGTGCTGTGAGCTGATTGCTTCATCTGCTTACTTTTATACACAGAAAAGTTCAAAATGATAATCTGGTATTGGCAGGGTATACAATAGAGGTGACAACAGACTGCAAATGCAAGAAGAAACAAGTTGCTGAGTTCCTGAGAACTTGTAAACACACACACCCACACACACACACCCACAACACTGATATTTGTTTACAGGCATGGACTGTCCATGGGAGAATTTAAAGTGAAAACAACACGGGGCAGCTACTGTCACTCAGACCTGTAGAATGACTGTCTGTCAGAACCTTGATGTCATTTTTCACAACTCTAGACACAAAACTCAAAAAGGTCATCCCTTGTAACACAGGCTATCCAGTGCTCAAAACATTGCATTGTGCATCCATATATTTAAAGAAACCTTACACCTGCAGAATCACTGTTTCAAATAACACATTGTATCATGAAATACCATATGAACTTAATTTAGATCACCCACACACACACAAGATAGAGATAGTTTCATTGTTTATTACTTTGAAAAATCATTAAATATTGTAATACAAAATATGTGAACAGAGTTTCATTATGGTACTACATCACTCCAAACGGTTAACTGAAATTTAATGAAGAAATACAACATAGATTTCTTTGAATCAAAGCAAAAACAATTGGCTACAAAAAAGAAAAAAACTACAGTACTATAAAACGCATGTAAAAAAAAAAAAAAAAAATCACTCAATCCAAAAAAGGATTGATTACTGTACTGTGTTTCTATCCATCAACCCTTGTCTTGTGGATTTGGCCACAGGTTCTCATCCACACATCCACACATGTTTTCATTTGCCAAACACCTTGGGAAAAATCTTCTGGCATGGCGAATCCAGGCCTGACACTGGTCTGCTGTGATGTCATTGCATGTGTCATCCATGGCCTGGAGAAGGGTGACTTGTTCGTGTGGGCGCCTGTCATACACCTTCCACCTCCATGTGGAGAAAAATTCCTCAATCGGACCAAGGAAAGGAGAGTATGGGGGTAGGTACAGAGTGGTGAATTGTGGATGGGCCTGAAACCATGCTTGCATCTCTTGAGCATGGTGGAACCTAACATTATCCCACCTAACATGGCTGCACACATGGTGATGTTGGCCCCAAGCTGTCCAGGCAGTTAGATGGTTGCCCGCTGGCCAATGAAATTCCAACCTCTCCTCCTTGTCTTGGCCAGGTTGAAGCCTGCCTCATCCACAAAGATGCATTTGTTATGGTTTTCATCAGCATTCAGCTCCATCACCCTCTAAAAAGATATTTGGAAAGAGAATTACTGATTACAATGATGTAGAATTTTGGGGGAAATTTTCACAACAGGCATCTTGAAACTGAACATACCTGAACATACTCAGTCCTCAGCTGCTTCACTCTCTCTGCATTTCTTTCAAAAGGCACACGGTATAGCTGTTTTACAGACACCTGGTGCCTTTTCAGCACGCGTGCAATAGTAGGCAAACTTATGGCTTCCACATTGTTGAAAATGTCATCATTGTCCAAGATGTGCTGCCGAATGTCTGAAAGGTGAATATCATTTCTGGCCTGGACCAAATTGACCACAGCACCCTCTTGTTCATCAGCCAGAATTTTGCCTCTGCCTCCACTATTTGGCCTAGTCTCAATTCTGCAGGGGAAATTACAGTACAGTACTGTAAGAACATGTCACCATAGAGCACATTTAATCACATCATGTGGTAGACATTGACATGCAGTATACAGTCATTTGACAATTGAGAGTAGCCTAATGTTTAGTGCATGCTTTAAACTTACCGGTTTTCATTGCGGAAAGTTCTGATGATTGACGCCACAGTTGATCTTCTGAGGTTTAGTTGAATCATTCTAGCTGCCTCAGTCACTGTCATGCCATGATTTACAACATGGTCTACAACTATTGGCCGGATTTCATTGGACACTCTTTGCTGTTGCTGTCTTGGTCTGTGGCCTTGTCCTCTACCACATTCCCCCACACCTCTAAAATGAGGCCCATGGCCACCTCTCTGTTGAGGCCTAAGCCCTCCTCTCATACGAGGCCCACGACCACCTCTCAGAAGGGGTGCGTGACGCCTGCCAATTCTTTGACCACCATGTCTTCCTTGTCTTCCTCTTCCCATTGCTTGACCTCTGTTGTGATCACCTGCCGGCTCCATGTTACTGAAATCGCTTGTGCTGTTATGGAACCCACTCATTTATACTCATACCACAAGGTGAAATCAATCATCAGTAAGGAGTTGAGAGTGTTGGAAAAGCAATTACAAGGGCCTTTCATGATCTAAACATTAAATATTGTTCAGCAGTTTCCATAAAACTGTGTGTTAAGAGAAATGCAAGTTTAACTTATTATTTTGAGCAGTTGTATACATTGATAGTTAGATCATTGTAATGAAATTAATAGACAGTCATCTCAGATGTAATGTGTGAATTGCATTTTGAAATGGTAATACTTTGATGTTAAGCTGTGTCATTTTGAACAGGTGATTTTAGTTAAATGAACAAATGATCTTAGGACAGATGAACAACCATCCATAAAAACTATACCTATCCACCTAAATACTACTGTAAGTTGTATGGGGAAAATTGTCAGATGTAAACAAGACATTTAAATTTTAATTTAGTCAGTTCTATGAATGCACAATACAGGTTCAGTGAATAATCTTTTGTTAAACCCCACTGTAATTTTAATTCAGTTATTGAAAATATTCTTTCACACCTAGTTTTTATTTTTTCATAAGTTTGTTTTATAAAGTCTATTTTTTTCAATCTCTGTTTCACAGGATATGTTGGGACAGGGAATAGCGGGGTTCTTAAAGGTATTTATTCTGAGGCCCTACATCCAGGGCACTGCAATCACTTCTGCAGTCAATTTCAATAGGTAAAAATAAGATGGACACAAACACAAATCCTAGACTAGACTAAATTATGTCACTGAAATACAGTATATGAAGGGAAGGATCTACATAAAGACTCTAGACAGTAATTGAGTCTTGTAATTTATTAGAGGGCCCTCAAGATATATCAAAATATGTATTAATTTTACTATATAACAACGAAAACTCTGTCTGTGTGTCTGTTCCATGTTTTTCTCCTCACTGACTTGGTCAATCCATGTGAAATTTGGCACAGTAGAGGGTCATGGGAGGAGTGCAAGAAGAAACAAGTTCCTGAGTTACTGAGAATTTTGCATAAAACACACACACACACACACACGCACACGCAAACACACACACACACACACACACACACACACACACAACACTGATATTTGTTAACAGGCATGGACTGGCCTTCAGAAAAATTCAAATGAAAACAACACGGGACAGCAACTGTCACTTAAACCTGCCTGTCATTAAACTATGTTGTTCCCACGCACATACACATCAACAAGACCTTCAGGCAGTAAATGGAGTGCACATGGTCGGGCAGGGTGGAGAGAGACAGCACAGGATACAGAGAGGAGTAAAAGAGAAGAGGAGCTGAGAAGCAGTGCATTAACAGAGAAAAGTCCTGTAGGAAAGTGTCACTAAATGATATGTTCACCAGCCGCCTCATTTATTTTGGTGACTTGGCCACACAGATGGTGAGGTGGTGAACTGAAGCCAGATTGTGGAAATTAGATGTGAGAGTTCTCAATCTACGGTCTAAGGCCTCGATCACTCAGAAAGCGTTTTAGCAGCTGAAGATGGCTTTTTGTGTTTGTTTTTAATGGGATGAAGCTTTTTGCTCACTGTCTTTGTGTTGCTATGGGTCCCACGTTCCCACACTTTAGGCTCCTGGCTATTTTTCAAAGTGCAAGAAGAAACAAGTTCCTGAGTTACTGAGAAGTGACAGTTACTGGCACTTAAACCTGCCTGTCATTAAACTATGTTGTTCCCCACACACGTACACATCAACAAGAC